CATGTACCGCTGATGGAAAGCACCAATCCGTATGGTACATTCCCCACACATTGACACATTTCTGTGTGCTGCTACCCCCAGAGCCTGAAATTTGACACTGTCAGAGCTTCTAAATCATGAATCAAGACTAAAAAAAGAGCAATAAAAATGTCTCAAGAGTCCAAAAAAACTAGGGATGCGCCGATACTCCTACCGGTATCAGTGCCAATACTGGTCATTTCCATGAGTATTCATACTTGTGCAAATGCTCCGATACTAAACGCCGATACCGACGCTTTACATTTTAAACAGAGGCGGCTGTCTGAGGCCCCGTGCTTGCTTGGGACTTCGCTTGCTTGGGACCTCGGCAGCCTTCCTGTGAACCGCGGCGCCTGTTTACAGCTCCAGCCACACATCTCCTTCTTCCTGGGGGACCAAGCAGCACTTTTCTTGACCGCGAGATCCTCTGGACTTCTGGTGAGACCCCCACAGCCCACCCGAGACCCCACACAGCCCCCCTGGAAGGAAGGTAGGAAAAGGGTAAGGAAGGGAGGAAATAAGAGAGTAAGGGAGACAGGAAGGAAGGAAATAGATGAGTAAAGAGATGGAAGGAAAGAAAGAAGGGAGGACGGAAGGAAGAGAGTAAGTGAGGAAGGAAGGAAGGGAGAGAGAGAAAGAGATTGAGAAAGAAAGAGAAAGAAAGAAAGAAAGAAAACACTAGACATTTTTACATAAAGAATAGTTGATGTTGGGAATATACGACCAGCAGAGGTGGGTAGTCAGAGAACAGAGTGAACATGTTTTGGGACAAACATAAATCTATACTCAGACAAAAAGGAGAAATAAAAAGGGGAGGGGCTAATGCCCCACTCGGTCTTTTCTCTCTGTATCTCTTCTGTTTCTATATTTGAATGTCCCGTGACTTGTTTTGTGTATGTGTCAGTGTATCTGTGTCCTTAGTTTGTGAAGGTGGCAGGTTCTTCTCTCCATACAGTCCATGAACCCATCACACTCAAAACCGCTGTTCCTTATAAAAGATGGGTGCTGCGGCAGTCGACCGATGGCAACCGTCTATAATCACAGGATACCATAGACACCGGCACTCCAAGTAATGAATCAATAGCGTTTGTTTTTTTGACGCATGAAGCATAGCACAATGCATCAAAAAGCAACATTTCGGGGTCTCACGAGATCCCCTTCATCAGGCAAACTGATCCCTCATTTTGGCTGATGAAGGGGATCCTGTGAGACCCGGAAACGTTGCTTTTTGATGCATTGTGCTGTTTCATGCGTCAATAAACAAACGCCATTGATTAATTACTTGGAGTGCCGTTGCCTATGTTATCCAGGTTCTTCTCTCCCACCGCTGCCAGCGATCCCTTGCTTTCCCTTGCTTTCGGAAGTAAAGGGGCGCAGTGTTGAATGGAATTCCGGCATTCCAGTCTTCCCTGCCAAATCCCACACAGTTAGAGAAAGAGAGCAAGCACACAGACCGAGGAGGAAGGAAAGGATGGGACAGATATGAAGAGAAGATAACCATATATGTGACTTATCAGGTAGGTAAATGGCCAGTTATTGGTAGGCACAGGTGGCAGCCTCGGCACTCCGGCTGTGGTAAAACTACAAATCCCATCGTGCCTCTGTGAGTCATACCTGTGGCTGTTAGATTCATGCAATGCCTCATAGGACATAGGGCAGAAGTTTGGATACCCCTGCTCTACAAGATCCTCCTGTCTATTTAGCAAATTTCCCACATAACCAATCCCTTCCTAATACTTACACCCTGCAGGGTCCCGTTTTTTATATGACCACCCATTGCAAAATGTGCTCCCTTCAATACTGACAATTGTTCCTGCATGTAGGTAGGCAGGCAGCTCAAACAGATCAGCATCTCGTCTACATTCATTTCCTAGCAGTAAACCACAAAGCTGATCATGTTACGACCGCTCACGAACTAGTAACTGATATGTATTTGTGGTCTTTGCATGACTTTTACAACTTCAGAAGGATTTGTGTCAAGAAAAGACAACAGAGAGTGTCTGGGCTGCAGATAACAAAAACAAAGGGATCTCTGGTCACGTGTCATTCAGCTTATTTCAACTCATTATCTCATTACAGCTTTGCTTAAAAGAGAACTATGGGGTCAGTGTTTTTCCCCACAGTTCTCCTTGGGGTAACGGGAGGACACAAACTAGCGTCCTCCCGTCACCCTAGGCTCAGTATACTGCGAGCTACAGCTCGCGGTATACTGAGACGCCGCAGCTGAAGTGGATCGCGACAATTATGCCGGGATCCGCACAGCTGCGTGACTGACAGCTGGCTCTGCCTATCTAAAGGCAGAGCCAGCTGTACCCGCCCCCTCCCCCGTCCGTTCCGCCAGTCAGCGCTGGCAGATCGTAGCAGGGAGGGTGGAATCCAGCCCCTCCCACTGTCACGGCAGAGAGCCGTGACTGGATCGAGAGGTGAGGGAACCCGGTATGTGTTCGCTCACCTCCCGATCTACTGAGCCGACCTGTGACAGTCTCATTGTCACAGGTCGGCTAGAACTATGCGGTGAGTGGAAATCACTCACCTCATAGTTCTCCTTTAAAGGGTCAGTCTATCTAAAACTGATACTTTTGTTTTTGGTAAATGCCAGAGTTAAAGGAGTTTAGAGACATATTATAATAATGTACACATAATGAGGGGGAATTGATCAAAACTGGAGCAGACAAAATCTGGAGCTGACAAAATCTGGAGCAGACAATAACTGGAGCAGACAATAACTGGAGCAGACAATAACTGGAGCAGACAATAACTGGAGCAGACAATAACTGGAGCAGACAATAACTGGAGCAGACAATAACTGGAGCAGACAATAACTGGAGCAGACAAAAACTGGAACAGACAATAACTGGAGCAGACAAAAACTGGAACAGACAATAACTGGAGCAGCTGTGCATGGCAACCAATCAGCTTCTCTCTTCAGTCTGTTCAGTGAAAGCTGCCCATACACCTTGCGATCATCGGGCGACACTTTTCGTCCGATGAACGAACCGTCGTACGATTTTCGTACGGTGGCCCCATCCTGCCCCGATTATCGCAAGGTTGGATCAGCGGTGATTAGAAGAAAGCACCTGGACAAATTGCGGTAATCGACCACACGTATTTTCGTCTGGCATGTGCAGTGTAAATCGTACGAATTTTGACGTACGGAAACGCCACCACCCTTGCGAAAATCGTACGATCGACCGAAGTTCTCTAACCTGCTGGGTAGTCAAAAGTCGATGGATTGTACAGTATTTGCGGTTGTACACTGCCCATCAACCTTTGGAATATCGGACAAAAACAAGATCGCATACGAAAATCGGCCGATATTCATAAGGTGTATGGGCAGCTTAAGATTTGAAAATGAAAGAGAGATGCTGGTTGGTTGTCATGCGCAGCTGCTCCAGATTTTGTCTGCTCCAGTTTTGATACATTCCCTTCAATGTATATATAATATATAATGTATACATGACGTATAACATGACAATTTGTTGTATCTCCTGGGGACTCTCTTGGCTGATCTCTGAGTTTCGGGCTCTGCACACCCGCTGTGCCCACTATGAGGGTTGGTCACTCTCTCTGTTGGATTTATTTTATATTATGGAGAATATAAAAGGATGGAAGTGGAACATACAAAAGTGGGCGGGATCATCCAAAGCTTGCAGGTGGTTAGAAAACGAGTGGAGTTGAGTCAAGAATTGTGGTGAAGATCTCACTGTTGGAGTATCCAAGACGTATAAGGCCCCATTCACATTGAGCGATTCACAAATCGCGCGTTTGTCATGCGATTTGCATTTTGCGCGATATCGCGCGTTTGTCACGCGATATCGCGCAAATGTATGCATTGAGCAAGCTAGAATCGCGGCAAAATCCGCTCCAAAAAGGGTCCTGCTGTAGCGACGCACGACCCTTGACAGCGACGGACAGAGCCCCATTGAGATGCATTGGAGAGCGATATCGCGCGGTAAATAGCCGCGATATCACGGGAATTACCGCACGATAAATCGCTCAGTGTGAATGGGGCCTATGACTCCAGGGCCTGACTCAAGTCCACTTACAATAAAATATCACATGTGGACAGACTGATTCTTTAACCCTTTCGCTGCCAAGCCCTCCGGAACATTTTTCAAATCAGCTGGCCAAGCCATTTTTGAATTTTCTGCAATTTTTTCCTATTGATTTGATTTTCAACTGCTGCGTTGCTAGCGTTTGTAAAAGACCCCCCAAACCATATATTTTCTGAAAGCGCAGGCCCGGTAGAATAAAAAGATGGTGATACTAAATTTACTATGGTATAATATGGTATAATAGAATAGCTGAGCCGAAGGGCGCTCGTGAGCCGCTGAAGGGCGCTTGTGAGCCGCTGATGACAGCTATTAATTTAAAGGGGACAGTCTGCTGAACAGTTCTACTATAAGCTGATGGTCGCTAAAGCGACCATCAGCTTATAGTAGAACTGTAAATGCCAGGTCCGTACGACGTACTGAGCTGGCCAGCTGGAAGCACTTTTGTAGCTCCGTACGACGTACGCCCTTGGCAGCGAAAGGGTTAAAGGAGAACTATGGGGTTAAGGCTTTTCCCCATAGTTCTCCTAAGGGTAACAGGAGGACACAAACTCACCCTAAGCTCAGTATACTGGGAGCTGTAACTCGCGGTATACTGAGACGCCGCAGCTTAAGCGGATCCCGACAATTGTGCCGGGATCCGCCCAGCTGCGTGGCTGACAGCTGGCTCTGCCTATCTAGGGGCAGAGTCAGCTGTACCCGGCCCCTCCCCCGTCACGGCAGAGAGCCGTGGCAGGATCGAGAGGTGAGCGAACGCCGGTATGTGTTCGCTCACCTCCCGATCTACTGAGCCGACCTGTGAGAGTCTCATTGTCACAGGTCGGCTAGAACTATGAGGTGAGTGAAAAGCACTCATGTCATAGTTCTCCTTTAACAACATGAAAAATTGGTGATTTTGGTGTTTTTGTTTTTTTGTATAACGTTACTCACATGGTGCCGGTGTCGGGCTGGCACTCCTTGGCAGAAGGGATAACCAATAATCCAACCCCAGAGCAATCCACATGGGTTTCAGTGCACCTGCAGGTTGGAGGACAGCGTAGGGAGCCCTCTGTGCTCCATCCTTGGTCAATGGAGTAATCATCATCATCATCAATAGTGTCAAAAGTAACTGCTTCTCCTGCTTCCTCATGTATGGGTCTAGACCCCAGGCTGAACTCTGATCCTTGGGAGGTCCTCTCACCTACAGATAACACTGAGGTCCATATCAAAGCACCAGACAAGAAACAGATGACCAAGGTCTTCACGGGTACAATGCTCCCCACACCTGACCGATACTTTAACATTGTACATCTGCATCGAAAATTCCAGTGCAGCACTTAAAATGAATGTCTTGGATGGTTACCGTCACCTCATTACCATGTAGTGAGCTCTCCTCTATCAGTGTTCTCCATGACTTGCTCTGCCCCTCCTGGTGGCGTCCATTGATGCGCTCCAAGATTTGCTCATGTTGGTCACAACTGTACATCCAAATCGCACACTGCCCTCTCCTTCCACTGTCAGTCTTTAACCTCCGAGAGGAGGAGGAGGCTTTATTACCCTTTAAAATTGTCTCCCCCCACCCCAACCCCCCTAAATTCCCATTAGAGCATTCTCAATCTGCATCACTAGGGAACCCTATTGTAAATCAAAGGGGGCGGGGGGGTGAAGGAGACATTTATACCAATAGGACATTGTTACACTGTTCTTACAATGTCTTACAATGCCTGCTGTTAGGGATGGACGGAACTAAGAGTTCTCATTTCAATTGACATTTTCATCAAAGGCATTGGAATCGGAGGGCAGGGTGAAATTATGAGGGGCTTTGGTGGTTTTCAAGGATGTTCCTTCGATGAGATCTCTTAGGCCTCATTCACACGAGAAAAGGCCGGCACGTACAGCTCCGTGCTGCGTGCACGGCCGTATCGGGCAGCTCCCAGGAAGGACAGGTGCGTTGTGCGATTAGTACGCAGCCCCTTTCCTTCTCTATGGTAGTATGCGGCCATAAGCCGCCCTACGCTTACCCCAAGTGCAGGTCCATACGGGTGCGGGTGTCCCGGCTCAGACGCACACAGGATCCATCCTGTCAAGTACGGACACACGCACCCGCACGGACGTGCAGGGCGGGTGAGCGTAGGGTGGCGTACGGCCGCGTACTGCCATATGGAAGGACAGGGGCTGCGTACTAATCACACAACGCACCTGTCCTTCCCGGGAGCTGCCCGATACGGCCGTGCACGCAGCACGGAGCTGTACGTGCCGGCCTTTTCTCGTGTGAATGAGGCAAGATCTATTAAAGAGACCCGATCTATTAAAGACTCCGGTACCACAGTCTGAACAGGCATCAGATCCAGTTATCATGTGATGTACAAGCCTTGTAATGTGCACCAAAAGATTCCCTAAAGTCTATCTATGGGAGAAAACAAAACCTTCATTTGCAGTGGGGGGCCCCCTGGCACTGCAAGGGTTAAATGCCCGCTAAGGGCCAGGGTATGGGGTAAAGCAGTTTTACTTTTCTGATCCATGCTCCGCCTGCACTTGACGATCACCTCGCCTCCTCCACGCTTTGCCTTGTAGATGTCCCTCGGTCTAATGTAGGGTAATGGGCCCTGCATTCTACTCAGTGGAGCCAGCGGGCCCCGTGGCACCAGAGCCTAGGGATGAAGAGGCTGCGGGAGCCAGTCTTGAAGCCTCTAGGGCAGGAGTGGGAAAACTCCGGCCCTCTGGCTGTTATGGAACTACAAAAACTAATGCGTTTCTGCCTTACTCGGCCTTAGTCATAGCTATGACTAGGCCATGCAAGGCAAAAACGCGTCAGCGGTTGTTCTTTGTATAGATGCATGTGGAATAAAGTTTGAAGACCATTGTGTGCTGGTTCTAACGTTTTTGAGCCTATCACTGCAGAAGAGAGCAATCCGTGCATTGAGTGTGGATTGCGGGGACGCATGACAGGGGTGAGCTGTGCGCTTTGTGTTCTTAGTTTACATGTTGTGGAACTACAAATCCCATGAGGCACTGCAAGATTCTCACAGCCACAGGCATGACTCCCAGAGACAGACGCATGATAGGATTTGTGGTTTCATTCAGTGGCGTCACAAGGGGGGTGCGGCCCTCACCCGGGTGACACCAAAATCACTGTCAGTCATTTTGATGTCACCCCCTCTAAAAAGTCAGGCACTCAGTCATGGACCTGAGAGCCCGACAGTGTCAGGAGAGAGGAGGGGACCCAGCAGCATGCCTCATCCCGCCGGGTGAACGCCCCCTCCTCTCTCTGCCGGCGTCCATCACCAAGATGGCCACCAGCAGGCATCAATCAGATGGCATGCGCGATGACGACACGGCGGGGTGTCACCCGGCCCCAGGACGCCCCTTGTTTCATTACAGCTAGAAGGCCGGAGTTTGCCCACCCCTGCTTTAGGGACTCTGCGGGGGCGGGATCAGGTAAGTAAAGCCCTTTCTCCTTAGATCTAAACAAGCATTTGACCCTTAAAACGCAGAGCCGCCTCAGGCTGCCTCATTATAGAGAAGGGCCTTGTGTGCCTAGATCATAAGAAGGACTGAGCAGAATTAAAAATCCTTTGGCTGGTACAGTAAGTGTGTATTTAACTCTTTGCGTGACTTGTATCTATAAGCCCTCATTCACACGAGAAACGGCCGTCACGTACAGCTCCGCGTTGCATGCACGGTCGTATCGCTCAGCTCCCGGGAAGGACAGGTGCTGCGTGTGATTAGTACGCAGCCCCCGTCCTTCTCTATGGGAGCACGCGGCTGTACGCCGCCCTACGCTCACCCCAAGTGCAGGTCCGTGCGGGTGTCCCGGCTCGGACACAGATAGGATCCATCCTGCCAGCGTATGAGTACGAACACCCGCACGGACGCGTGCAGGGCGGGTGAGCGTAAGGCTGCGTACGGCTGCATACTCCCATAGAGAAGGACGGGGGCTGCGTACTAATCACACGCAGCTCCTGTCCTTCCCGGGAGCTGCCGGATACGGCCGCGCACGCAGCACAGATCTGTACGTGCCGGCCTTCTCTCATGTGAATGAGGCCTAAGGCTTTTACGAGCCCTTGTACTTCATGCCACAGCATTCATATGAATGGAAGTCGTCCGGCAGTCAGTGACATACGGTGCATACGGCAAACCTACTGCGCTCCACCCTAGACGTTGCGGGGAAAGTTCCAGAGATCAGGGAGTGTTGTTTTTATCTCTGGGTGACTCAATGTTTGATTTTATGACACCGGCCGGCGGCAGTTATCAGTCACTTAGTAACCGGCCGATGGTTTACAGTCTGCAGCTTTGTATACTTGAGGTGTACAGTGCCAAGGAAAGGAGAGCTGTGCCGGCCCGCAGAGAGTCAACAATTCCTCAGCCGAAACCAGGGCACGGAGGCATGGCGATAGCTGGCACCACGCTGCTAATCATTTGTGAGCTTCCATTGTGTGCTGACAGGTCAAGTGGTTTATTCTCAGCAGCAACAGTTACCCTTGTGTACTAATCCTGCAGGAGAAGCCCGGCCTCCAATAGCTTACCGGAGGGATTTCAAAGAGGGGGGGTGGTAAGGTTACTTGCTATAGGGGGCCCCCAAGTGAAGACCCTGACATCACCAAAGGGCCACACATAATGTACAATGTATATACTGGTCAGAGAGTGTAAATATACTACAATGGATGGTCAGAGAGAGGGAATATACTATGACAGATGGTCAGAGAGTGAACATATACTACGATGGATGGTCAGAGACTGGGAATACACTGAGTGGCCAGATTATTATGACCACCTGACGTTTGTAGGCAAATTAGCTATAATTAGCTATAATTTGGTGCTGAAGTTGCTAGAGGGCCAGACCATTATAAATAGGGCAGCAGGTTGTTTACCACGACAGTAGAAGTGATTTGTTTCTGAAGATACGGGGAAACAACGCGATTTATCAGCCTTTGAACGTGGGATGATTGTTGGCGCTCGGAGCCATGGGGCGAGTATCAGCAAAACAGCAGAATTCGTTAAATGTTCAAGAGCAGCTGTTGTTAAAGTGTTTAAAGACTGGACTGTCAGCCGAAAATCTGGGTCTGAACGTGCGAATTGTGGCCGTCAGCGACTAGTCAATGTTAGGGCAGAACAGAGAGTGGCAAGACTGGTACAAGACAACAGAAGGGCAACAGTGCCGTGTCAGATTCCTCGCATCACCTTTCATCATCTCGTGGAGTCACGAGGCGGCCAACGAAGTACTGATGAGGTGGTCATAATAATCTGGCCACTCAGTGTATACTAGGATAGATGGTCAGAGAGTGCCAATATACTACGATGGATGGTCAGAGAGAGGGAATATACTATGATAGTTGGTCAGGGACTAGGAATATACTATGATAGGTGGTCAGAGACTGGGAATATACTACAATAGATGGTCAGGGACTGGGAATATACTATGATAGGTGGTCTGGGACTGGGAATATACTATGATACAGGTACAGGTTCACTTTAAGGAAGATTTGTCATTATGGAAAAGTCACACGTGAATTTGAATAAATATCATAAAAGAAAAAAAATTAAGTTGAAGAACAATTATGTTGCTCAAAGTTCACTCTTTACAACTTTGCTGGAGACATAATAATCATACTTGGAATAATATAACTGGATTACCACATCATCCCCTCCTCCTGACTTGTTTTTACCTGGAGGAGCGATGACGGTGCTGTCTGCGATTGTTTCAATAATATATACCTTTAGGAAATCTATAAAGGTTTTGGGGGGTTTTTCAGGGTGGACACAGAGAAAAAAATACCACATAAGAGACTGGGAATACACTGAGTGGCCAGATTATTATGACCACCTGACGTTTGTAGGCAAATTAGCTATAATTAGCTATAATTTGGTGCTGAAGTTGCTAGAGGGCCAGACCATTATAAATAGGGCAGCAGGTTGTTTACCACGACAGTAGAAGTGATTTGTTTCTGAAGATACGGGGAAACAACGCGATTTATCAGCCTTTGAACGTGGGATGATTGTTGGCGCTCGGAGCCATGGGGCGAGTATCAGCAAAACAGCAGAATTCGTTAAATGTTCAAGAGCAGCTGTTGTTAAAGTGTTTAAAGACTGGACTGTCAGCCGAAAATCTGGGTCTGAACGTGCGAATTGTGGCCGTCAGCGACTAGTCAATGTTAGGGCAGAACAGAGAGTGGCAAGACTGGTACAAGACAACAGAAGGGCAACAGTGCCGTGTCAGATTCCTCGCATCACCTTTCATCATCTCCTGGAGTCACGAGGCGGCCCAACGAAGTACTGATGAGGTGGTCATAATAATCTGGCCACTCAGTGTATACTAGGATAGATGGTCAGAGAGTGCCAATATACTACGATGGATGGTCAGAGAGAGGGAATATACTATGATAGTTGGTCAGGGACTAGGAATATACTATGATAGGTGGTCAGAGACTGGGAATATACTACAATAGATGGTCAGGGACTGGGAATATACTATGATAGGTGGTCTGG